TGACAGTCTATTGAGGATGATCTTAGTTAACAACATGTAGATTGTGAAAGCAGGCAGATTTGGCGATCGCTCTTCAGATCTTTCTTGTCACCTTTTAAGAACAGCACAATTGTTTTTGATTCCTTCCAGTTTTACGGTATTTTTTGCCTTTCAAAGCAGCAGCTGAACATCTCCGCCAGAGTCCGACAAAGCGTATGATAATCTGTTCTGATTATTTCATTCGCCAGACCGACCGTCTCTTCCTCAGGCTCTTTCTTCATTAATTTGCTGCGCGACACACCGAGTTTCACCTGTGAGGACAGGAAGGACACTTCTTTCTGGCTGTTGGAGTGAAGGCCAGGAGACGCATGTCTTTGACGTAAAGAGCTGGGTGTAAACATTCTTGCAGAAAGCATGCATTTCAACTTAGTCAGACGTTAATGCGTCATCCTCGTTATTCAAGGCCGTGATGGTCGACTGATACAATGATAACTCTCCTGCATTATCTGAAGCTTCTGCAATCTTAAGCTGTTATCTCTAAGTTTTGCAATTAGAAGGTATTAAATGAGGTTGCAAAGAAGAGAGCACTCTGCCGTGTCGATTCCTTTTCTCTTCTTCCTCTTCCGCTTGGCAATCAGATGCTCCTGAGTTCATACCTTTCTCTTTCTTTGATGTTGCCACCTTGGCTGACCTTTCCCAGCGCCTCAGTTTCTCAGCGAACTTCTCGTAGCCGTCGTCACAGTTGGGGGCTGCAGTCTTCGCTGAAAATACGAACTTAGAGCACCACCTCATTGAATACTTTCGGTCGTTTTCTGTGATTTGCCATCTACAGTACCTTCCTCTCAATCTTCGCCTCGAACGTTAGCCTGGCCCGCACCAGTCTGTAGTCACTGCCGTGTTAAATGATGGCACTACCGATACACTTCGAATGATGCGGCGTTGTCGAATAGGACGAAGTCGACGTCGTTTTTCGTCACCGCGTTGGACGTAATCATTCATGTCCACCTCCTGTCGGTCTTCTTTTTGAACGAGGTGTTGCCATTTTACAGGTATTTTGTTTCTGTCATGGTCGCATTCGATCTTCTCGCTCATTTCGCTCTTCGGTGCCGTACCCACTGACATATTTTACACTGGCTTTTCCTTCTCTGACTTCAGCACTGAAGCTTCCCACGTCGAAGGATACGTGAATTTTGGAACCAATGCCAGTTCCAATTCTTGATAGAGTTCTTCCACTTAATCCTCGTCGGCTGTGCTTGTTGGAGTGTATGTTTATACTGTCCTTCTGTTCACTTGGAGGCCCAACAGGACCAGTCCT